GACCCCGTGAGTCAGGTGGCACATTACACAGCTCCAGAAAGCGGAACATGAAATAATCTAATAGGCACTTTTTGTAGTCAATGGAGTTGTGTTTTCCTTTTGCGCAAAAGGGTTTTATGAAAGAGCTACAGACTGAATTCAAAGAAGTACTTTATTTACCTCAGTTGGGACATAACTGGGCTTTTGTGCATCGGAGTTAACAGCGGTGTGGATGTTTGTGCGCCAGTCTGCGAGCCTGTGTGTGTTTATGCGTTTTTAGGGTTCTGGAAAGCTGTTTGTGACTGGGCTCTGTTTAAAAGTGTGACTTCATTCATTTCGTATACAATCTCTCAGCCGAAAAGGCCGGCGTGCCAGAGCTCATCACGTTACATGATAATTGATAAACTCTCTATTTGCCATTTGCACAAGCACACTGGAATTCCTCTCTTCACCTGCCCCACATAGCTTGGGGGGGGGGGGGTCACAGGCACAGAGACTTAGCCGAGCCACTCACCGCCCCGAAGAGGTACTTACCCCGATGTGATTTGAACACGAACCTTTCTGATCTGTAGTCAGACAAGCTACCGTTGCACAGAGAAACCAAGCAGGTTATGGTTTCTGCCTCATGAGAGCTATAGGGAAAAAAGAGGGCGAATTGGGCATTATGGAAATAATATGCGAGACCCAGATCTTATAATATTCCTTCCAGAAGATTCTGAGGACTGTGGCAAAAGAAAATATATGGGGGGAGGGATGAATTTTGGTGCTTGTATATGTGTATAGGCATTTCCTGATGTTATGGTGCCTTTGTGTGTTAGTTCTCTGTTAGTATTGTAACCTCAAAGTGAACCTTGCAGCACTTGCTGCCAAACCAACAACAAAACAACTACAGCACAGAGTCCTTTCACAGTGTTTCCTCTGACTTATCATCGCTGTCTGCTTCTGTTCAAGGCTGCTGTTGTTTATGGCTTAGCTCCTGGTCTAGGGAGCAGTGCTATGATCGTGGCTGGAGTTCACTGTCGGTGGTTACGGCTGTTAGTCCATGCCAGCGTCCCCTGAAGGCTTTCGCAGAGGTCACGCCGTCCAGACATGCTGTCCACTCCCCCCCCCTTTAGTACGACCGCTCCTCCCTGAGATCACTCATCTTCCATGGCATCTCCTCCGTGGGATCCTCCTCCTCCTCCTTCATCATCCAGAATTTTTTTTGCTAAGCTGACATGTCCGATCCATCACTCCTGGAAGAGGTGCATGTAGGGACGTGACCTCCCCCCAGAAGACACGCCTGGTCCGGGCTCTGGAGAAAGGGCGGCATTGTTGGACTTCAGGGAATCTGTGTCCATGTCTTTGTGAGGGTCCAGCTGAGCACCGATGTATGTGTCAGCCTGGCTGGTCGGAGCGTGTAGGGCCTCATTGTATGGCGGTGATGAGCTCCCTCCCCCACAACGGGGTGAAAGTGGCCATTCATGTGTCATGGTTAGTGTCAGCAAATTGGTGGGCCAGTATTGGGGGGGGGGACTCGCCATGCGGAAAGCCTGACTCACTGGCCACCCCCACATTCGGTAACTGTCTGTCATATAAGCCGCATGCATCCTGTGACTCGCCTGGTCTTGCTATCGCACACGCATACTCATGCATGACGTTTCTCTGACTCAGATAATGAATCAGCTCCCTGAAGCTTTGAGGGGGGGGGTTACAGTGAGATTACAGTAAACAGACTTTCAAACACCAGTGAGTTCCAATGCACAGGGCAGGTGGATCCAGTTTGCAATAGGAATGGAATGGATTCCAGTAGGAAGGATTAAGAGTAATAGCACAGCAGCTGCATGGACACATCAGTGATGGTTCACATGCATTAATACTGTGCAATACAAGCTGTCGACAGGAAGAGATACTAACCCACCTCTGCAAATACACAGCTTGGGGAATACAAGAATTCATATTTTCTGCCTTCTTCTGAACTGAGCTGAATTGGAGACATAATTAATGAAACTAAGAATCAGAATCAACTTTATTCAGCATGTAGACCCCGAGCATAAGGAAGTGGGTTTGGTGTAATGGGTCACTTTAAAGTAAGATACATTATTAAAATAACATAGAGTATTAACACAGAGCAGTGACCAATCAGCAACGCAGAGTATATACAAGTGTCATCACGCAGTTAACAAAGCTTTGTGTATGTGTGTCTGGCGTAGATTAACACGTATTTTTCTAAATGCCCTCAAACTACCCGGTTCTTCCCTGCGCTGCCGTCCCAAACATTTTTCTCTCATATAAACCTCCCTAATAATTACTCCACCTGACATATAGGCGTGTCCAAGATACGCGAGTGGGCGTGTAAAGACAGACGTCTGTCCCGGCTTCAAACACCCCGAGTGAATTAAAAAACAAAAACATCAATAGCACCAGGAATGTCTTACCATGGCTGATTTAAAAACACTTGGGAGGGGGGAGGAATTAGGAATCACTGCTCAGCTCCTCGCCATGGGTGGATGGATAGATACTCACCCACTGTTACCAGCTTTTAGTACAAATGTGCAGTGAGAGAATCAGACATCAGCGACACAGTATTGTAACAATGTGGGTTGTATATCTATGTGTTCCAGTCTTTTGGTGGCATGGTGTGTGCCACTTACGCCAGCAGCATGTGGGTTTTATTCCCAGTCCCCACTGTGTGTGTGGAATTTCCGTGTACTCACTGCATCTTCATTCAGGATTCCAGTGAGTAGCCTACAGTGTTTCCTCCCGGTGTCCAGAAACCTGTATAATTGTCTCCGAATTGCCCTTAGTATGTGAGCATCACCAGATTCCAGGACGTGTCCCGACACTGCACCCCAAATTCCTTTTTTTAGGCTTTCCGACCCCCCCCCCCACACTAATGTGGCTCCTCATGGTATTGATCCAAGCTGTTCAGATGGTGACTGATGGGTTAATTGATCGATTCACTCATTAACTAATTGATCCAGAAAGTTCAGAGGGACATCTGTGTGCTACACTGCCCCCCCCCCCCAGCCCCACCCCGCAGAAACCCCTTCCAGTATAATGAAAAAAGAGCACATTATTTCTAAATTGCTTCCAGTTAACCTATCCCTTACCTGTCCGACTCACAGTAAGAGTACTGGGGCCCGTGGGTTAAGAAAAAATGAGGAGAGCAGTGTTCCAATCGGGGGAGATCAGAGAACCCCCCCCTCCTCCTCAGCTGACAACTCGTACCATCACCACTCTTCCCCATGAGTCGAGAACTTATACCCACCAGGAGAACCCCCCCCCAAGACCAGTTGATGCCCTAGTCTGGAGGCAGGGGGGATAGATGCCTCAATTCTGGACCCTGGGACCTGCTGTTGTTAGGTTACATCTCTAGGTGTGTGGAGTTTAAGCCAAGGGAGGTGAGTTCCTTGGTAAGACCCCACCTAGAATCAAGGGCGTAACTTTGGCTGGAACATTGGGGGGGTCAAGGTCTCCACCCATTACGGGGGAAGCATGATTATTGGGGGGGTTGTATTAGCTGGTTTTGATTTATTGGGGGGGCTACAACCCCCCTATCCCACCCACCCCCGTAATTTACGTCCATGCCTAGAATATTGTGTGAGGAGAGGTTAGCTGAGCTTGGTCTGTTTAGCCTTGAGCAAAGGAGACTAAGGGGGGACATGATCCAGGTATATAAGATTCTATCAGGTCTGGATGCTGTTCAACCAAATAGTTATTTCAGTATTTGTTCAAATACAAGAACTTGTGGCCATAGGTGGAAATAAGCTGGAGAAAATTTAAAAACGGATTTGAGAAAGCGTGTGTGTATGGAATAGTCTTATTGCTAGTGTAGCGCAAGCTAAAACCCTGGGTTCCTTTAAATCAGAGCTAGATAAGATTTTAACAACTCTGAGTTATTAGTTGAGTTCTCCCCAAACAAGCTTGACAGGCCGAATGGCCTCCTCTCGTTTGTAAATTTCCTATGTTCTTGTACTGGCGAAAGCACGACACCTTCCAGTCGTGTCGTTATCAGTCGTCAGCATTAATTTTTTCCTGTGTCAGGGATCGTTGAACCAGCCGTGATTGAGCTCATTTCCTGACAGCGCTGCAGTTTCTCCTTTTTATTCATTTAGTTTTCCATTTCTGTATTTTATGTTAACCCAATATCAAATTATGCCATGCAGCGTTTAATCACAGATAGGGCCGGTGCTGTCATCAGCATCTGCACCAGCCTGCATCATGTTTGTCTAGAGCAGGGGTCTCCAACTCCGGTCCTGGAGACCTACTATCCAGTAGGTTTTCAATCCTACCCGGCTTCTGATGAGCCACAGCTGTTCTCAGGTAAATACCAGGGCCAGGTTTGGTTCATCAGATGCCAAGTAGGATAGAAAACCTACTGGATAGTAGCTCTCCAGGACCGGAGTTGGAGACCCCTGGTCTAGAGCAAATAAAGGCTGGCGATCTTCATGGCGTTTTCCTTCCAGAAATGCAGCAGAAGGCCACAAGGGGGTGCCACACGAGGTAAATCAGCAGAGATCTAGCATGCTGGCAGAGCCAAGCTAAGAGACAGACGTTTTGCAGCGCTGAATGAAAAGCATAATATAGGCTAACCTGAATCAGCTGTGATACTGCACGGGGGGGGTGGGGGGGCAGGTTGTTGCCGTCGAGGATAAGAGTACAGGTGGCTGATGGCAAATCATAATGGTGCTGCACCCTGTGTCGGGGGGGGGGGGGGGGGGGGGGTCACGCCCTCCCCCTACATTCCACACCAGATTGGAATGAGATATAACCTAAAACATCGCAAGGAAATGGAGGAAAGATGAAAGGGAAAGTGGTAGAGGATCAATGGGGAGAGAGAGAGAGAGAGAGAGAGAAATAGAGAGAGAGAGAGAGAGGGGGGGGGGGGGGGGGGGGGGGGGGGGGGGGGGGGGGGGGGGGG